GTAGCAGAGGCAGCGGTGTGGGGTGGCAGGCAGCTGGTCTGCATGGGGAGCTGGTTTTTAAACTGGCTCCCCTCATGGACCAGCTCCATATGGCTCCCTACACTGCTGCCTCTTATACAGAGGCAGCAGCTCAGCGCAGCAGGGGCCAGAGTGCCCTGGCTGCCATCCCATCCCTGGGGACTATGCAATAGTCAACTAACCACTAAGAATCCATGCGTTTAGTTGACTATTCTATTACCCACTAACATCCCTACCTTAGAGACTAACATATATATTAGAAGGATCGTGAGCTTTAGTGGATAAAGCACACTTCATGAGATGAATTGCAGTGGAAATTACAGAATTCAGGATATATATAACAGCAAAATCAGTTACTTATCAATTGTAGTACCAGTACTTATGAAGCTAATTAAGTCAGGCTGGATATGTCCCATAAATACCATTTGATGTGGAAATGCAAATATCAAATGCAGAGGAAATTTCCTTTTTAGTGATAAGCTGGAAGGGTTTCAGCCAGTGGCTGGAGGTGAAGACTGGCGGTGTTCTCTTATTTTCCTTGTTGGCCTGTCTTGAAGTAGGTGAAATAGGTGGCTACTTGTTTGGATCTGTTTCTTCACTTCCTCTGGTAGATATGTAAGTTTTAAGAATGTTTTGTAAAGATCTTGTAAGTGTGAGGAAACAGACTGAAAAGGCCACAAATCAGACATCAGGAATGGTAACACATAAACCTGTAGGGCAGTGGTCTTCAACCTTTTTACACCCAAGATCACTTTTAAATGGGAAATAGGTGGCTACTTGTTTGGATCTGTTTCTTCACTTCCTCTGGTAGATATGTAAGTTTTAAGAATGTTTTGTAAAGATCTTGTAAGTGTGAGGAAACAGACTGAAAAGGCCACAAATCAGACATCAGGAATGGTAACACATAAACCTGTAGGGCAGTGGTCTTCAACCTTTTTACACCCAAGATCACTTTTAAATCCTTCCCCAAGAACCCACCCCTTCCTTGAGGCCCCACCCTCTCTGTTCCTCTCCATCATTTGCTGTCCCCAGCCCTTACTCACTCTCACTGGGTTGAGACAGGAGGTGCGGGCTCTGGAGTGGGAATGAGAGATTTGGGTGTGGAAAGGAGTGAGAGGTGCAAGCTCTGGGAGGGAATTTAGGTGCAGCAGAAGGTGGAGAAGGGGATGCTGGCTCAGGGAGGGGGCTCTAGAATGGAAAGTGTTGGGGTCAGGTGGAGGGTTGGGGTGCTGAGCCAGCTACAGGCTTGTGGATGTGAGGGTGCAGGAGTATGGGTTGGGATAGATGAGGGGCTCAGGGCACAGGTTTGCGGTGTGTGGATGGTACAGAAGTGTTGTGGCACAAGACTGGGGATGTGGGGGTGCAGGAGTTTGGGGATGTGAGAGGCTATGGACAGGAGGTTCCAGTATATGATAGGCTCAGATTTGGGGTTTATGGGGGGTGCAGGACTCAGTGTGGACC